CCGCCGGCCGCGCGGCAAGCGCGGAGCGGAGCAGGCGCGGAGCGGAGCCGCCGCGGAGCGGAGCCGCCGGCCCGCCCGCCGGCCGCGGGAACGGAGCGGCGGATCCAGTGCCGGGTGTTGCGGCGCGCCCGGCCGCGCTCCGAGCAACCTGCTCCATTGTGCGGCGGTTGCCCGCGGCGGGAGGGAGGGAGCGAGGGCGGCCCCGGCCCCGCTCCGCGCTCCCGGCCCCGCCGCGGCCTCTTGGGTTTCACCTCCGGCGCCGCCGGCGGGCGCCATGGAGACGCCGCGAGCCGGGCCCGAGGGCGGCCACGGCCGCGCACCTGCCGCGGGGCGGAGCCGGCGGCACTGAGGGAGCCCGAGGTAACTGAGGGAGCCCGGGCGAGCCGGGGCCACGTGGGGGGCTGAGGCGTCCCCAAAGAACCTGAGGGAGCCTGAGGCGTCCCCACAGAACACGAGGGAGCCTGAGGGGACTTGAGGCGTCCCCACAGAACCTGAGGGAACTTGAGGGATCCCCAAAGAACCCGAGGGAGCCTGAGGCATCCTCACAGAACCCGAGGGAGCCTGAGGCATCCCCAAAGAACCTCAGGGAGTCTGAGGCATCCCCAAAGAACCCGAGCGCTCCTGAGGGAACTTGGGGGATCCCCACAGAACCTGAGAGATCCCAAGGGATCCTGAGAGAACAGGAGGGAGCCCAAGGGATTCCGCTGTAATGCCAGGGATCCTGATACATCCTGAGACAGCGCGAGGGAAGCTGGGGGATCCTGAAGTAACATCAGGAATGCCCAGGGAACATGAGCGATCCTGAAAGCTTTCAGCATCCCTGAGCTTTGCTGGGACGTGAAAAGAAAGAAAAGAGCAGGTTTTACTATTTTTTTTTCCTCAAAAATATATCTATGGTGCCAATTATCATGCACATCAGCTAGGGGAACACAGCCCCAGCACACCAGGTTAACTGCTGTTTGCCACAGGACGGACTGCCCGGAACGCAATATATCCACAACTTTTTAAAAGCTTTTGGTTTCTCTCTGACACACGGGAACATTACCCTTCACAGGAAGGTGGTCTTCAGAATCCCTTTTCAGCAACACAATTTATTTAAAATCTAATGATGCAGCTGCTGACTGAAAAGTCTTACCTGAGGAATCCACAAACCAATGTAGGGAAAAGAAAAAAACCTGGGATGAAGGACAACTTTGGCCAGAGAGGAGTGACATTTTGCTTTCCTCTTCCCTTGCAGATGGGAGCCCTGCACAGCCAGACCGTCCGCTCCGGGCCGGAGACGCTCCCTGCGGCGCCAACAAGGGCCCTGCGCCCAGGGCTCAGCCCAGCTCCACTGCTCCTGTGGCAGGAAAGGCCATGGAAGCATCAGGGAAAGCTCCTGGAAAAGGTGGTGATGTTTATGACAACCATTTGCCTTAAACACCACAACGGCAATAAAAAGCCTAGGCAACTCCTAAGATACTTTTCTTAGCAGGCCATTTGGAGGCATCTTCTTTCACTCCACTCTTTGAATATACTGTGAGTGAGCCAACTTGTTAGGGTACCAAGGGTCAAGCCTCAAAAGCCAAATAGTTTTTCTTCTTGTTCTTATTCTAATTTCTGTTTGCACAAGAACCACATGTTCTGCCTGGAAATACCCTGATGTGCATTTCTGCTGTAGCAGCTGAAGGAACAGGATAGCGTTCCTCAAGGACAGAATAGGCCACAATTACATAATGAAAAGTGCTTTTTCTTCCCTGACCTCCCAGTGCCACTGCTTGCTTCTGCAGTTATTTGTTTCTGCTCATTACAGGTTTTTGAACAGACAGGCCTCCCACAGAGAAAAGACATGCAGCCTCTCAAGATCTGCACAGATGGAAAGCACAGCTTTTTTTTTTTTTTCTCTTTTTTCCCCTCTCCTAAACTGAGTTCTGTTTTAAACACATTAGCCCTGAATGGTAATAGGAAAAGCAGCATTAACAAACAGCTACAGGAGTTGACTTGTAGAAGTGGATTTGTCACCAAGATCCCAAATCCCTCAGTGCTCAGTTACTCTAGGACTATTGTTCTCCATTACTGATCACCTGGATTGAGCTACTTTCATGGATTTTAGTTTCAGAACCATATTAAAAGCACACCACCTAACCTTAATATATGCAACAAACATGAAAAGAGATAAAATCTTCAAAATTTAGCTCAAACCAAGGGAAAGCTTTCTCTGCACAGTGATGAAACAACTGTAAGCCGCTGCACCACAGCTTGGAAGAACGGACACGGCAATTTGCTGCAGTTTACGAAAATCTCTGGGGATTTTCTGAACTACACGCAAAGGGCTAAAAGGCAAGACTGACTGACCTGGCTTAGTCCACATTAGCCCAAAACTCACCTCTGACTGCTCAAGTGCAGCATGTGATTTCCTCTTTTTTTTTTTTTCCCCTCCCCTCTATCTCCTCTCTCAGCTTTAAGGTGCATTTTTGTGATAAAATCTCATTTGATACATTTGTATAGCAAGGTGCAAGGTCCAGAGGGAGCTACCTTAGAAAGTATTTGATTATTACAGCACGATGTTACATAGAAAAAAAGACTGTATTTAACTATACAATTATGCTCAATTCTTTTTACTTATCAGATGAAGAAACGGGGACATCAATAAACGTGAAGAAATGAGATTATTGCTGGTATTGAATGTGCAGTGGGGTTAAAAGTAAACTCTAGAGCAGAGTTTGAGGTACAGTGAGGCTACAACATAGTCCCTAACCCTTTACCATCTGTATGACTGATGTCCAAATATCACAGCAGTGATTGGCAAAGCCCTTTATTGTTCAATGCATAAAAGCAGATGCCCAAGATTTTATTTTTAACCATGCAGAGATACCTGCTTGTCAACGTCCATCAAAGTCCAGCTCTAGCTGTACAGCTGCTGCCCCTCTGCCCAGCAAACTTCACTGAGCTTTGCAGGAGTCAGACACGTCCCCGAGAGAGCCCAGGGAACAAATGAAAGAGAGAAACACTGAGGAGAAGCTCCAGGATGGCTGGATTCACAATTCTGCCATTGTAGAACTCAGGAAAATAAAAAAAGGCAGAGCACCTAAATGTCAGACAAGCAGCATCAAGATACTAAGACACCACACTCTCCTCCCTGGTATTTGGCTGCTGAAGTAATATACAGAAATAAAGAATTCTGTTCACTTTAGATAATCCTGTAGACTGTAAAAGATCAAACAAAAGCCCATTGTTTGATCCACAAAGCATGACAATGGACATAAGAAATTTAATGTTTATTCTGAGAATATTTACAAAATAAATAATAAACTTACATGCTTGACATTTCAAAAATAATAATGAGGATTTAACGTCTTAGCACAGTATGGTCCACTTCTTCAAACTTTATCCTAAAGTTTTATTTCATTCTGATTTTATATGCTTAAAAAACTATGAGAAAATAAACCAGCATAGATATGAAGTTCTGCAACTCTGAAAGTTAATCTTATGTCAATAAATCCAATCTGTAGAACATTAATTTCTATTCTTTAATATACTTCAAGTATATTTTTTCAAGAAGTTTGTTGCTTTGAGCAATCCAGATTTCTAAGATTAACTGCAACAAATTACCTTTACTGGCAGCAGTGCAACTCATTTCAGATGAAAGTTTTTTAAAACATAAATTATAATTATACTCAGAAATGGTAATTGGACTAATTTAGGAAATTGCTGTGGAAAAACTGAGCTTCAGAACATTTTAATGCGTAATACTGAATGCTTCTCAACCTCAAGGTGACTTCAAGGCTTTTAAGACAGAACTCCCAATATTTTTAAATGAACTTACACCTTACACAAAGCACACATCACAGATAATTGCAATCTCCAAACAAGTTGCCCATTTTACTTTTAAATATAGCTTCTTAACCAGTTTGCAAATTGTTTCAGCGCCTGCACGAGTTTACTGTTGCTCACTCGATCCCTCATTTTTCCAGCAGCGCTTTCCTCTTTCCATATCCCTTTGTTCTTCTTGGCAGCCTTTAGCTCTGCTCGGAGCAGTCTCTTGTGAAGCTTCCAGTAGAGGCGAGAATCATGTCGCAGTCCTTCAATTCGGGCCGTCCTGCCAAGCCCTTGTCTCAAGATCTCTTCATTTAAGCACGTGCTGAGAAATCGACCCTAGAAGAAAGCACCGTGGACACGGTGTTCGTTCTGGCTGAACCTGCTCGCTAGCGGAGAGAATCTAGTTCACGGTTAAAATGTGCTACCGGTGGCAGAAAATGACATGGGAACGTTTGATGGGCTAAGTATTAAGCTGACCCGAGCTACACAAGACAGCCTAGCACTAGTAGGTAGAGAAATACACTTGTTTCATGAATCAGCCCACAAACACACCTGTCTGGAAATTTAATTTTAAGATATTACATAGCATTTTAATTTTGCAGCATTTTAAACAAACAATAGCAACATTCTTTGTGTGCGCCAAAATAAGCACTTCATAGCATAACCACAGTCAAACTTACAACTATAGGTTAAGAAAGAAGATTTTTTGTTACCATATTTTACCTTATTTACTAAAACGAGGCACTCGAGCGCCAAGTCCTGCCTTCCAAGAAGCTGGAACCATATCATTTGTGAGGGTTTCAGCTCTTCCTGCAACCAGACCACGGCACCCGGAGTCAACTCCACTCCGGCAAGTCTTACCAGCAAGAGACTGTTCGACTGCCCTGATGATACAGAGAGAGCTTTTTCACCCAGGGTACCGGAAAGGAGAGAGTTCCTGCCCTGCACAGCCCGCAGCTGCTGTGAAGTGAATCCTTGGAAGTAAAGTCATTCGCATTTCAGTTTTAGTTCCCCTAAGTACCATTTAATCATAACTGAGAATTCAGCCTTTTATCTCCTCCTGTATAAAGATAATGACACTATTAATAAAAATATCATGTTGACAAGTTCTCTTATACAGATATTTCTCTGTCTTTCTTATCCTGTTTCCCATTTGCAAAGCAGGGAAAGAACAAAAGACAGAAGCAGAACTGTAGCTCAATCTTTTCTCTTTGCAGCTTGGCACTTGAATTGCTAATGATTTCTGACCACTGTTTCCAAGAGTATCATTTAGTAAAAATGCTAAGCTTAAAGTTTGATAATAACTCCAGCATTTTTGCTAGACTATACTTTATTAAGAACATCCACTTTTCATTCCTAATCTTCAAGCACTTACATTTTCTCTGCAGTGCTGCAAGGAAGGGAACGCTGATGGGAACGTGCTCCACCTCGAGGCCCGTCTCAGTTACGTGCCGTATTTTTCCCCGCAGTTTCACATTCTTCTCGACAAACTCCACGGGAATATCCAAGGCACTTGTAAACTTTGTTGTCTACCGATGGAAGGAAGAGCAAGGCAAAGCCTTAAAAGCATAGAGCAGTTACAGTCGTATCAAACACAGCCTTCCAGGCACTTTGGAGAAGTCCTTGCTCCGCAGCGCTCGCGCCCTGGCGCTAAATCCACCGGAAAATGTGGATTCCCGGGGGAAAGCGGGGCTCATGCAGGAGAAGCGCTGCTGTTAAGCCTGAGCACTCGGTCAACAGCAGCACCGCGGCAACAAGCAGGAGGCACCGGCAGCAGCGCGAACCGCGGCGTTCAAATCCCGCGTATGACGTGGAGCAGCTCGTGCAAACCCCGCAGCGCAAGGGCGAGCCCGCGCAGAGCCCCGCGCCGCCCGGCCGCCCGCGCCGGCCCCG